ATTCTATTAAGTTTGAGCAAGATATTGAGTGTGGTGGTGGGTATATTAAGCTGTTTTCTGGTTATGTTAATCAGAAGAAATTTGGTGGTGATACTCCTTATAGGTAAAGAAAGTGACCCTTTTGATTTTATTGAGGTTTGAGAATTGGATGGTGGTTAAGCTTAAAGTTTGTTGTGTTTTTGTCCTTGCAGTTTTATGTTTGGACCTGATATATGTGGGACTCAAACAAAGAAGCTTCATGTTATCATGTCATACCAAGGACAGAATTATCCAATCAAGAAGGATTTGCAATGTGAAACTGATAAGTTGACTCATTTCTATACATTTATTCTTAGACCTGATGCATCTTACAGTGTTTTGGTTGATAATAGAGAGAGGGAATCAGGAACCATGTATACAGATTGGGATATACTTCCTCCGCCGAAAATCAAAGATACCAAAGCAAAGAGGGTATGATAGGAACTTGGGATTGGGTTTTGGTTCAATTTTTTTAGGGAAATGTGGTGCTTAGATTATGAATTGCTGATGATATTGTTGTTGATAGTTTGGTGTTTTTGGTCAAACCAAAAATGGTTGACTATTATTATCTTACAGCCGGCGGACTGGGATGATAGAGAATATATTGAGGATCCTAATTATGTCAAACCAGAGGTATTGCCTAATAATCTGTTTAATAATGTGGTTGAAATAGTGATCTATACATGTTCCTGATACATTTTGCACTTGTTTTATCTGCTTTGATGTTGCAGGGATATGATTCTATTCCCCGGGAGATTCCTGATCCTAAGGCTAAAGAGGTTTGTTTGGTGCCCTCATTTTAGAATTTCCCATGTATTTTTCCCTTTCTCGTCTGGTTGGGGTTTGAAACACACTATTGGACTAGTCATGGATTAACTTGCCTTTATATTGCAACGATGTTCTAGGAAGATATCTTTCTATTTTGCTCTCCCTCATTCAACTTGACGATTGGATAGTTAGGTTATAAATAAGAAGAGATTATCTTGGTTTATTAGTTGATTTTAACAGTCACAGCCTGGAAGACATAATATAACAGGCCTTTCTCTGTGTTGCTGCTTTGAGTAGCCTGATAATTGGGATGAAGTGGAGGATGGAATATGGAGGCCACCCAAGATACCAAATCCAGCTTACAAAGGACCATGGAAAAGAAAGGTGCGCATCCATACTACTAAACAAAAGTTTGAATAAATTACTCAAGCTGATTATAATGATTATTGAATTAAGTTGTTATCCTGATACTGCAGAAAATCAAGAACCCCAACTATAAAGGAAAATGGAAGACTCCATGGATTGATAACCCAGGTACAAGTCATTCCAGTAAGGCAAAGTAGTTATTTTTAGCACTTATTTGGGGGGAGAATGCTTAGGACCATTTTGCATATATAAATGTTCAGGAGTAGGAAAATGAGCATGTTGGCCTTTATATCAGCATTTAAACAAGAATGGAGTAGGTGGTATGTTCAAATTGCTGAAACCTGGTACTGGATGTTGGCAAGTTTGTTGTTGTATAAAAAATGAAAATTTCATTCTGGGCTACTAACAGAGCATAGCAAAATGAGTTAGCTTCTAGGTTGCAGTAGGAATGTTTTTTAAATGAAAAGCAAAATGGTTTTTCAATGCAACTAGTCCCTTCAACAAGGTTGTGTCTGAAGTCTCTCAAACTATATGGTCAATCTAATAGCTTTACCAGATTTCAGTATCCAATTTCATTTTGTAAATACTCACAATCCTCTTTTCCTTTCTTTGTTCTCAGAGTTTGAAGATGATCCTGACCTTTATGTGCTAAAGCCCATAAAGTACGTGGGTATTGAAGTTTGGCAGGTGGGCTTATAACTTATTTCCTTCAACAGGAGATCATTGATATAAATTGTTTGGGGAAAAGTAGCAGACTAATAATACCAAAAAGAGTAAAATTTCGTTATTTGAAATAAAAAAAAAATGGTTGTTTTATCTGATCTGACAAAAAAAAAATACATTTGTCACTCTTATATAACCTGGATTTGCTTATCTGAAGTCATCTGATTAGGCAAGATAGCACACTTTATTATATTCATATTAGTAAAAGTGCTGGCTAGCTTTTCATTCTAAATTGAAAATGTATTGATTTCAATTCATTTCCGGTTGTAATGGCTTCTTGGCTCATTTCCACCCTCTTGAGGAGTTTGGATTTGTACTCAAGTCTTTGATTTGTCCAAATAACCAAGCTGCTTTGCCATTTGAAACTGATTTGAACTTCTCATTGTGCGGTTTTGGCGGAATGATTGAACACCTTCATAATTTTTGTTTTCAGTGAAGCTGGGATTTATGCTTCTAATAAGACCCATACTGAGTTACTGTAATCTGATAAGATCAAGCATTGCATTGCAGGTGAAGGCTGGTTCAATTTTTGACAATATATTGATCTGTGATGACCCACAATATGCGAGAGAAATTGTGAAAGATGTATTCCAGAATAGAGAGGTGAATTATCGATTTTATAGTCCATGTGGCTGATTGGTTCTGAGGAATATGGTCTGATTTGGATTACCATTTTATGTACATTCCAGATCGAAAAAGATGCCTTCGAGGAAGCAGAGAAAGTGAGAAGAGCTCGAGAAGAAGAGGTGACTTACTTTGTTTACTTGCTTTAGGAAATATGCAATTTTTTTCTATAACTCTACTTTTAACCACTTTTTTGAGCACTGTCCAATTGATTTGAATCATTGCATGAGTAGGAAGCTCAGAGAGCTAGAGTGGAAGGTGAAAAGAGGAGGAAAGAAAGGGGCTACAGGAAGCCTCGTAGAAGGGTATAGCATCTCTTTATTTCTTCTCATCAAAACTTAGTTGATACTTTTAATCTTGCATCTCATGATTGGTAGCTGAATTAACTTTATATGATATCCCATGCTCAAATAAATAAACTTCTTCTGATGCTCTGAACCATTTAAAAATGTGAGGTTCTACTCATAAAATCATTTTCAGATGATCTTTTCATAATGTTTTATTGAGAAAGAGAGATGGACAGCCAAGGAGTCACAGAAGTAAAACATCATTTTTTGATCATGATCATTGTGATGCTTTTTATTTCTTTAGTGAATGTGATTTAACATAATAAGATTCTTTTGCAGCACGATCCTCGGGATTACTTGGATGATTACCATGTAAGCATATATTTGGCACTGTCTCTCATTTTTCCCATTGTAGAACTTTTTCCTATAGCATCATAGCAAGTGGTAAAAGATCAATGGCACATCTCTACTGTAGGCAGGAATTACTTGGCTCAAGCCTTTTGTTTTTCATTACATGTCATAAAATAAAAAATGGTGCCTATATTTTTTATTAAACAAAAAACAATTCTAGCAAATGAACTCTAAGGTAAACTGTTACGTCATCTATGTCTTGGCACTGAAGACAGTATTCAGCTTGAGGCTTTCTGAACAATGATACATTATCTTCACTGAAAACTCTTTCATGCTTTAGTTCAATAATTTAGTCTGAGCTCGGAACTTTCCTTTTGCAGGATGAACTGTAAGCTTTCCATGGCTGGTTCCACCCGTGTCTTACAACTGAAAGAGATACCAAGTTTCAGATTTCTGAAGGCAGCATTGCCTGTCTAAAGTCATGCTCTTGTACCTCCTGTTGTCTTGCTGTTGTTGTAACATTAGAGACTCACCAGGGCCACCGCAACTAATAACTTGCCCAAGTTGACATGGCAATTCAGCCACTAAGGTTTACGTGGGCTCTCGTTATTTGAGTTGACAGTAAATTAATGGACAATTTTGAGGCTAATCGTTGAAAATTCTTATGGTTTGGATGGATTACGGATTGTTTATCAGTTAAAACTTCATCTGCATGAAATCTTTATTGTGGTTTAAACAGGGCAACTTGCGCCAAGCAGATAGCTCATAGACCGGGCATGTGCCATAGAGGTTTGATCTCCACAATATTTTATTTTCCATTAAAATAGCAAAATCAGATAAAATGGATCCTTTAATTTTATGGTGAGGGGCCTCCGAAGGAAACGTGGGACCTCCTCAACATGGCCTGAAAACACTGCTGGACCTAACGTCTCGAATTTTTGTCTGTTGTTTGGACTTTTCCAGATCACCTCACCTCATTCCCATCTATTTCTCTGCGCCTTTGGGAACGCGGCATAATTCACGTTTTAAAAAATATATATTTTTAGATGATTTTATCATATCTTCTGTGATGAATAAAACCAAACAAAAATTAAGTAGAATAATATCAAAATAAAAAAATTGCAGTCCATAAAAATAGAAAAAAAATAAAACAAAATAAGAGGCTAATGATATTTATCAATAAAAAAAACAGTGACAATGATAATCCCATTGGACGACAAAACAAATGTGTGAAAGGCATTTGTCAAGTAATTTTCTATATTAATCTTTCATTAATTTATTAGATTTAAATACCAAGATCACTCAAACATTTACAAAATTTCTTTAAATGTATTAGGTTAATAATACATCTTTGATATTATTCAAGTAAATTAAACCTCATTTGGTATTCAAGCTGTTAAGAATATATTTATTAATAAAAAAAATCTAAAAACAATAAAAAGTATTTATTCTTCTATAAGCATTTTTATGATAATGATGGGATAAAAATCTGATATGATTTAATATGTTAATTAATCTAAGAATATCTTTTTTCCAATGATAAAGAAAAAAATAATTTAATTGTTTTTATATCTCCTCTACATGTTTTGAAAAATCGCATATTAGTTGAAGGTAAAATAGACTAAATTATAAGATAATTTAGAGTGTAAATTGTTACACATACAAGAAAATATAAATTGTATTTTTTTTCAGCATGAGAAATAAATATAAAAACACCTAAATTATAAAATAATTATATATTTTTTTAAAATAAAAAATAAAAGCATTTTTTAGTATTCCAATTCTGCTGACCCATTTTCCTTGTTAGTCACCAAACTACATAAATAATAATATCCATCATAATTATTCAAGTGCCAACTGCCACGCAAGTGCCAACCCACAGCCATCCACATTAACTCTCTCTATCTTTCTCTCTCTAGGAAAACAAAACAAAGAAATAAACGAAGGGGAGTGAAGTGATGCAGATGATCTCCAAAGCATCTTGTGCCATGGCTACCCTCCCTTGCTCCAGGGTGGGGTTGCTCGCTTCCATTTCTTGTTTACTCAAGACCCATTTGATTTAATGAATGTTTTGTACTTTAGTGTTGGTTTAAACTTTAAAGTCTCTTTCTTTATGGGAAATGAGTGATCTTGATGTCTGAACCCATTTGAGAGATTGGAGAATCCTTGCTTCTGTTTTGTTTTGGAGTATTATTTGCTTGTTTTTTGTTTGAAGTTTTCATTTTTAACTTCTTTTAAGAAAGCCTATTTACTGTTTTGTGCTAGTTTTGATAGTGGAGGTAGAAGGAATGGTGAAAGTTCGTTTTTCTTCTCCTAGTGGTGATGTAGGTTTTTTACCAGAAGTGTAATTGGTTGGATAGTAAAGAATCAAGTGATTTGATGTAATGGGCACTTTGTTTTATTTTTAGTGGAAGTTGAGGAGAAGGCATAATTGGTGAAGTGTATGTAGACATATGAGCTTTTGAAGACAGGAAATCATCTTGAGAAGCTGAACTTTCTGTATATATTTTTTGGCCTTTCTAATGTAAATGATTTCATCCATCTATCACTTTCCATTTGCTGCATTTGGTTTTTCATATCAGGAGATGATTTTCCTTCTTTGTGGAATAGGTTTCGTGTTTATTTCTGGTGATGTAGTGGATATATGCTTGCTAAAACTGTGGAGATTGAGATCCAGGACCTTATATTTGTTTCTCTTACATTGTTAGGTGAGGAGTGGGCTTTGCATATTGCCAGGCATGAGGCAACTTAGCCTTAGTAAAGGTCTTGTGTATGGATTCACGCGTTTGTTGTCTACGCCATTTAAAACCTTGCGTGGAGCAAGTCGAACACTCAGAGTAGCCCAGTTTTGCAGTGTTTCTAACATGTCATCCTCATTGCAAATTGAATTGGTAAGAATCTGTGATGTTTTTATTTTGCAAGCTCTGTTGTAATTTTGAAGTGTTGAGTGCTCTTATTGTGAATGGATGCCTCATATCATTTTTTGTTACCTTCATTGCTTCAGGTGCCATGTCTTAAGGACAATTATGCATATCTCTTACATGACGAGGATACAGGCACAGTTGGAGTTGTCGATCCGTCTGAAGCTACACCTGTTATAGATGCTTTAAGTCGGAAAAACTGGAACTTAACTTATATACTAAATACTCATCATCATCATGATCACACAGGTGGGAATCAAGAGTTAAAAGCAAGATATGGTGCAAAGGTATGCAACTGGGTTCCCATTTTCTTTCTTCTCCCAACTTACATTGGATGAGATTAGATGAATTCAAGGAGCTTTGACACAAGAGCCTTATAATGGTCAAAAGCCAGAGTTTCTATTCACCGTTTTAAATCTGCTTGTATTGAGTCTAATTCTTGAAACTTAGCTTATTCTAAGGTTTTCAATGAATGCTGAGGATTCTTCATTGAGTATTAAGAGAGTCCTACATGGTTGTTTGTAAAGTAGCTCCCAGAATTTTCTGTAGTTTTTACGGTTCCACTTCTTGTTTGTAGGTAATTGGTTCGGGAGTCGACAGGGATAGGATTCCTGGCATTGATATAGTTCTGAATGATGGGGATAAGTGGATGTTTGCAGCCCATGAGGTGCAAGTAATGGACACTCCTGGCCACACCCGAGGTTGTATTTCCTTATTGATTAATCTAACGTTAGGAAATCCTGTCGATGATAGATATTCATGAGAATCATATCATTATAATGTCAAAATGGTTTCTTTTCTTCTGTTAATTTTGAAATGACACTGGAAATGCATGTTAAATCAATGCATTTCCATGCTGTTCCAAAAAAGAAAAAATAATGCATTTTCTGGAAGCATGAACTTGTGATTCACTGCTTAGAATAAAACTCATAAAATATGTAAAACGCCAATATAAAATCCAAGTCACATGAATAGTTATAAATGCATTGCACATTGGAAGGCTGCAACTGGTCATAGCTTCCAATATCTGTCTTGCATGCCATTAAAATGGGGATCTTAAAATTTTCTGTTTGGAGATTATCCAGTTGCATGGGACATGTGGTATAGACTCAATACAAAAAATAAAGGTGAAACAGACATTTTTTTGTTGGCTTCATCTAAACCAAAACAGAAATTTTGTCAGTAAATTTCAGCCGTGTCTTCATATTTTCTAGTTAATTGCATACATGTATAGCGCTGGTTATTTCTAGTAGGGTGGTGGACGGACTTCTCTTGTTGATTTTGGGAGGAGTAAAGAGTGTAAGACTTCATGGTTATGCAGCAACTGCAGTTTTTGTTGTTCTGACGTTCAGCTTTCATTTAATTGTTATTGTAGGCCACATTAGTTTCTACTTTCCTGGTTCTGGGGCTATTTTTACTGGAGATACTTTATTTAGTTTATCATGTGGCAAGCTTTTTGAAGGAACACCTGAGCAGGTAATTCTTGACATTTGTTCTTCGTTTTACCATTATTCTGAGGTTCAAAACTATATCTAATGATGCACATATTGGGTTGGACTTTCCTATTTGAGAAAAAATGTTTCAGTACATGAATCTGCAAGGTGAAATTATTTTCAAAAGAATCATTTCATCCTTTTGACTTGAAGAGTATTGAATTGTTAATGATACATGTTTTCTGAACTTGAATGCTGATATATTTCCCTAGCTTTCACCGCCCAGTAAAAAGAGATCTGTGATTTTGAACCTCCAAAAAAGTCGTTTTATTTTCGGTGGATTTTTCTAAATCTGTCTTTACTTTACAGTTCACAAGTTGTGCATTTAATGAAATATTTTATAGTTAGAAGGGGACATCCCTGCAGTCAAATCTTGAGATGATTGGGTGAAACATTGGAGGATGGGATAGAACTACTTCCAATTGTGTAATCCAAATAGCAGGCCTCTTAATTAACCAACAGTATACAAGATGAAGCTAGTCACTTGATTATTATATGGATGTCATGCCCTTCTGCAGTCAATATTTCGTTGTTAAAAATTGTGTCCATATTGAAGGCATTATGGAAACTGGTTGCCCTTTTCTTCTTGTTTCATGATGATTTAATACAATAGCATCTGATTGTCTTTGTTGCAGATGCATTCGTCCCTCAGGAAAATCGTGTCACTGCCTGATGATACAAATATATATTGTGGTCACGAATATACATTGGTTGGTCACTGTTATCTTTGTTTTTTGTATCCTGCTTGCATGATCTACTAAAGGTCAAAGATCAAGGCCCTAAGTACGATGCATCTTTTCTGACAGAGTAATTCAAAGTTTGCACTGTCCATAGAACCAAATAACGAGGCACTCCAGTCGTATGCAGCCCACATAGCACATCTTCGCAGCAAAAGTTTGCCAACAGTGAGTCATAAGCCTTTTTATTTGTTCTTTTGAAATTACTAACCAATGATGGGCTGCCACAATGCCTGAACCCACCCCTACGCTCAAGTTCACAATGGGAGCAGGATCCAATCCTATGCCTCTAGTACAAGGGCAGGAGAATATTATAGCAACGGAATGATGTGCCGCTGGATTTTCTTATTTCCTATCTTTGTGATCTAGAATGAAAATTGATTTTATGATTTGTGCCTCTTATCGGTCTTGACAGCGCTCACATAGCCCTTCAACTCGTTAGAGATTCCTATCCATGATTGAGCTCATGATGTTTCAAACTGAAACATTGACTTTTGAAAGGTATCTTGCCTTTTGGAAGCAGATATAGGCACCAAATTCAGTTGCAAGCCAAGCATTTGCCTTACAAGGGATGTGTGTGCTACTGTACGTGAGTACATACCCTCTTTGGCTTTATAGAAGCACTTAAAGTTCTATGTCCTTAGTTTTCCTGCCTGGCTCCGGCTATTAGAGTTTTTAATTTTGTAGAACAGCACAACCTTCCTCATGGATACGCCTTGAGATGGTATTCAGTTTCAGTAAACTTGAAGTAGCTTGCAAGCTGAGTTCCCTATACATCAACAATCTTCATAAATTATCGATCAACTTGATTTAATTTCATAGTCCTGGATGTGTTTTTATTTTCTTTGCTTATCGTTGAACTTTAAATTTTATCTTTTTAAAGTTTTGCATAGAACGTGAGTTTTTCTGTCTTATCAGATTCCAACTAAGCTAAAGGTTGAAAAGGCTTGCAATCCTTTCCTCCGCACATCAAGTACAGAAATCCGGCAGACCTTAAACATTCCAGCAACAGCAAGTGATTCAGAAGCCTTAGGCGTCATCCGCCAAGCAAAGGACAATTTTTAGATCACATACAAGATTATCAACTTGTTATAGTATAGGTGATTCAGCTGTGTATTATTCTCTGCGGGTTTGGATATCTTGAATTTCCTTTGGATTCTCACCAAAAGAAATAGCAAATCCTGCCTTCTTCTATTTGGATTAAAATGGTTTAATTCTGTACCAGCTCAGCTTTTATTTGCTGTGAAAACACTGCGTAGAAGGTATTCATTTTTGGTTCTGGTTCATGGATGGTGCCATTTCTTCCACTACTGTAAACACTTAATTTTCTGCTGTTCGACTGAAGTTGGACTTGACGAGAGCTTTGACTGTGCTATTCTGCAAGTGTCGCTCCATGTAGGGTGAATTATATTCAGCTGGTTCAAAGATGGAGAGCTGGATTTTCCCGTAATGATTATAAATTAAGAAAACGAAATACCAAAACTAAAGTTAAAAAGCTGTCTGGAGTCCGTGAGGCTGCATTGCTTCTTTTCTTTCCCTTTTGCCGTGAATTCTTCTTGACGTGGATAATCTGCTCCAACACATATTTATTAGATTCGGCCTAATCCCTGAAGTTGATATTTCTCTGCTGAGTCAATTAGATTAGATATGTGTGACCTAGTCAACCTCGACACTGAAAGAAAAACATGGATTCAGGCGATGGTAGTGGTTTAGAACAGAGCATGGAACTAGGAACTTAAAATTTTGGAGACAGACACCCAGGGACCACAATGCCTACGGCCATGACTTCTGTTCACTTGCTGCTAGGAAGACCACTCTGCACCATTTATTAATCAATGGCATTTGTGGGGTGAATAATGAATAGCTTTATCATGGTGGGACACCAGCAAATGAAGGCTGGTTTTCGTTGAGTTAGGAAGAAATCCGGCCCCACCATGCTAGAAAAAAACAAGGAATTGGGCCAGGTATGGCAGAGACTTGTGTCTTGTGTCGTGGGAGAGGTTGCTTACCTCTATCTGCTTCGTGTGTTTGTTTCTTTTGGCTTTGTGGTATGGTAGGTGATGGATGGGTTTACCAAATAAAGCTGAAAAGGATCTTACATCACTCCCATCTCCCGTTGAAGAAACTGGCACCAAATCCATGGAGTTGGCAGGCATGGTCACGTCTTTCATGACAGATCTGCTCTACTTTTTAAAAAGTTAATTTTTTTCTTTAAATTAATTTTTTTATGTTTTTAAATAAAAAAGTGATTTGTAAAATAAAATAATATTATTTTAATATATTTTTAAATAAAAAATATTCTAAAAAATAACAATTACCCCAATTTCAAACTTGAAATCATGCCCTAAAAGCTATGGACTAATGCTGAATCTTTTTAATGCTTCTTTGTCCAATTCTCTCATCGGTAGGTCACCTGCCTGGTGTTCTTATACGATCATTCTCTTCAATCACCATGCCTTGTAGTTAGTACATGGCTAAGTTATTAAACCTGAATATAATTTTATGATGTTTTTAAAAAATAATATTATTTTTGAATATTTTTTTAAAAAAATCACATTAAATATTAACCATGTCCACTAGAATAATTGTTGATATGGCAGGTCAATTAGATTTGACTATTTTATTTTTTCTATAAAAAATAACAACATTTTGTTATCAATTTAAATTAAAATTTAACCAAATTAATAGGATAATTCAATCAACTTCCACTCTATTTAATCTAAAATCTAACCTTTCAAGTTGACCTATTTAATTGAAGAGTGTTAAATAAAATTAATATACGGGTCAACTTTCTCCTAATATAAATAAATTGATCTCTTTAATTCCGATTAAAAACATATCATTTATGCATATCAAAACTATATAAATTATATACCAAGGATCCTTTCACTCGAGGTATCAACTTGAGGAAAAAGACAAAGAAGGATTAGGAACCTCGTAGCCTTGGAAACCTCGTAACATGCTACATAAGCTTGCATCATAAAGTCAAGCAGATGGGATCTAAATATAATAGTGAGGATATGGTAATAATTGTTTTTTAAAATATTTTTATTTGAAAATATATTAAAATAATATATATATTTTAATTTTAAACAATTATTTTTAATCTAAAACTATATAAAAAACATTAAACAGGAAATTATTTAAATTTTATGCAACCTCGTTTAGAAGACAACAAGAAAAGGGGGCTAGAAGGAGGATGTTCTGAAGTTTAAGAAAGCAAATTCCTTTTCAAGTTAGCTTTTATGTCAAAGTTTATGTTTTCTTTTGTTTTATTCAACTGGTCCCCATATTGATCCATTGAATTTTAGGATTGCTCGTTTTTAAAGTTTTGTGTGTCTATAAAATAAGCAAAAAGGACTAGATGAACGCACTAGACTACTACTTAACTATATATATGATTTATTTTTAAATTCAAATATGGAAATATAGCTGGAATAGCTTAGTTGAGGTTAAAGGAGTGTTTGAAAATGTGATTAATCTGTATTTTTTTTTTAATTTATGTTTTAAATTATTTTGATGTGTTGATTTAAAAAATAATTATAAAAAATAAAAAATATTATTTTAATATATTTTATAATAAAAATACTTTAAAAAACAACCACAACCATAAATTAATAAAAATAAATTAATAATTTAAAATATGCTATAAATCTTTTTTCTTTTTTACATAATCTAAGAAACACACTTGATAATAAAAAACACATAAACATAAATCTAAATGTCTTATTTGGAGGATTTATAACTTAGTAATCTGTCTAAATAAAAAAGAAGAAGAATGAATTAATCTAATCTTATTTGAATCAATTCGCAATTTTTTTTTTTTGATTTACGTGGGGTGTCCGGGCCAGCTTATGCGCACCACGACTAATCCACACAGCTCACTGAACATCCTGCAAGCCCAGTGAGCAGGTAAGGCACCGCGAGGGTGATAGACGTGCATGGTGAGATTCGAACCCAGGTGCGAAGGAAGGGGACAAGCCCCTCCCACCGCTAAGCCAGAACCTCACTTGCATCAATTCGCAATTTTAACCTAACTAAAACTTGATCAGGAATATATTAATATTTTTTTAAAATATTTTTATTAAAAAATATTTAAATTTAAATTATTCTTAATTAACAGAGCCAACACTATTAATTTATAACCCAAGTATTATACTTAGATAATCTCCGTATCGAGATTTAGAACTGTCACATAAACTGATTCCGAGTTTCGAATATACCCTTCACCATCAACCTATGTGCAGGAAAAAAGAAAGAAAAAGGAAAGCAGATCCTATAGGACCCACCAACAATTAAGAGTCTCGATAAACGCATGCACAGTTTCCCCGCCAATTCTTGCTTCAGTTATAAAAAATTCCCAAACCCCCAAATCTCAAGAACATTAATCAAATCCTCTAAAAATGGCGATCGTCGACGATTTGATAAGCCCTGGAGGAGGCCAAAGAGCTTGCGTCGTGGTGCTTGGTGGCCGGGGCTTTTTAGGCCGATCGCTTGTTACACGTCTCCTTCAACTCGGTGACTGGATCGTTCGAGTCGCCGATTCGACTCACTCCTTGCAGCTCGATGCTGACTCTAATCATGGTGACTCTGTCCTCCGTGATGCTCTTGCGTCCGGTTTTGCTTCGTATTGTCAAGTCGATGTTCGCGATCCCTCTCAAATCACTAAAGGTAACAAAAAATTAGGAGGTTTCGAGGTGTTCAAATGCGGTGCCGTTTCCTTTTGGCTCTGTGTGTGTGCTTGGTTGGTGAGAAAGTGTGAGAAAGGAAGGGGAAATGAGAGAAAAATGGAATTTTTTTGGATTGCTGCGGTGATTCTTGGCAGTACCGTGGTAAAATGAGGCTGTAAATTATTTGTTTAATTGTTTAACTCATTGAAATTTTGTAAAGTTACTATCTTTTATTCAATTACTTCTCGAAATTTAAAATATTAAGGAATATCATGTGCTTTTGGCTGGTAAAAAGGTAATTGAAAAGAAAAATAAAAGGAAAGAAATGGAGAGAAAATTACCGTGATGAAATAAATCTGTGCAAGTCCATGACTGTTTTAAGTTAGAGTTCAATTTGTTTTATAGTTTTTGTAATTGAAGAGAGTTACTGAGGTTCAGTTTACTGTAGCTTTGGGGTTTTGAAACGAGTGATGGAAGGTCATTTGTGGGATTCTGGAGTGAGTTTCTTTTGTTTGGTTTCTAAGAAAATTGAAAGAAAGAAAGCAAAGTTAAGTTTTGAATTATTTATTCAATGTAGTGTGAGTGTTAGCCCTGTAAAGTTCATATTATTTCATGAAACTCTTGAGTGATTTTAGCTTCTTAACAAATGGTTAGATGCTCATGGTGGTGGGACTCTTTGTTTGGTTGCTGAGAAAATGGGAGAAATGGATATCTGAATAACGTGAAAATTCGTGGGTGGAAATTTGAATTTGGTTAATTTTTTCTGGATGATATGTAAATGAAGAGAGCGAAATGTCTGTCTTTTTGCAGCTGTTGAAGGATCATCTGTTGTATTTTACATGGAAGCTACTGACTTACCGAAACATGATTTCTATGATTGCTACATGCTTATAGTTCAAGGTAATTAATGGGCTATTACTTTTTTCAGTATATTAAAACCATGCACCATGGAGGGGGGTAGTTGGTACTGGGGGTGGAACATTTCAGAATAATTTTTGTCTGATTGCTTGTTTTCATTTTATACAGGTGCTAAAAATGTCATCAATGCTTGCCGAGAATGCAAAGTTAGACAGCTTATATATAACAGTCCTGCAGATGTAATTTTTGATGGTTCACGTGATATATGTAATAGGGACGAGTCTTTTCTATGCCATTGGAAAGTATGTTTGTTGCTCTAGAGATTTCACTTCTTCTTCTTCTACTTCATTTATTTTTTGGAGAATGAAATTCTCTTCTTACATTTTCTACTGTGTAATGTAATTTTCTTTTCCCTTTTGACTGGTATTTTTTTTTTAATCATGATACAGTTTGCAGACATGCTGAGTGATCTTAAGGCTCAAGCAGAAGCATTAGTCCTGTATGCTAACAACATTGGCGGTCTTTTAACATGTGCACTGCGGCCTAGCAATGTCTTCGGACCTGGGGACACTCAGCTTGTTCCTTTTTTAGTGAATTTAGCAAGATCTGGCTGGGCAAAGGTTTGAGGACTATTTGTGCTCAGCATCTTTTGTGTGATTTTTCATGCTTTGTTGATTTTGTGAACTTCTTATACTACTGGGACTGAACCCCCCCCCCCCCCCCCCTT